GGCTTTGGGAAATGTGATGGCTTTGGATATTTATTTGGATCAAAAAATTGAAGAAAATGGATCATCAAACATTGTAGGAAATTTGGGCCACAAAAACAGAAGGCCCAAACCCGAGAAAGTCTAAGGCTAAAATTGGTAAAAAAACCGAGATCAATACCAACCGAACCGATTAATTCGGTTACAAAATTGAATAACCGAAATATTGATCGGTTTGGTTTTTGATTGTTACTTTATAAAACAATCAACCGATAAAAACCATCAATTTGGGTTTGGTTCCAACCAAACTGAACCGATGCCCACCCCTACCCACCCACCCACCCACCCACCCCCCACAACAATAAGACGAGTCCTCCATTCATCAGGGTCATCAAGCCAAGGGAAGTCACGGACATGGGCTCTGGATTTCAGGCCGAGCTATGTACCTCTATAGATTAGCAAAAATGCTAGGAAGACTCGCCTAAGACAAACACTCGCGCACTCGCCCAAAGTAACATGGACACGTATTTGCAATCATAAGTCTCCACCGCATCATTATTTAGTGGAATTTACATTACCATTTAACATGAGAGAGTGTAGAAAAAATCGACAGCATATAGCAGTTCTCATAAATTAGATTTATTAAAATTTTGAGTCAAATAATAAAATTTTATTTATTTTTATTTTTTAATTTATTTTATTTACACATCATATAAATTAAATTTAACTTAACATCTCTCCTGTATGTAGAGTAGATATTTGTGCTCATTAAATCGTTGCAGAACTTCGCTAAATCGAGTCTTCTAAGCCATCTACGATAAAATAGTGTTAAAAAAGTTTTTTTTTTTTTGAGGGAGTTAAAAACGTTTTTTTTTATTTAACAGATTTTATTAATTTATAATATTTTATTTAAAATTCAAATCAATTCTAACGCTCAGTCATGAGCTGAGCAAATGCAACCTGCTGAGTGCTGACGCAAACCGAAATGCTGGATATTGAGATAACAAGTTCCATCATATTGTGTACTCCAATATTATATATATATATATATATGATATTATACATAAGGAGACGTACTATGAAATGAGTTAATACATAGATTATTTAGTGTGATTTTTTAAATAAAAAAATTAATCATATAATGTTAAACTCCTAGTAATTACATTGTATAAGAAACATTGTGTGCCTAATTTTTTTTTATTGTATCTTAAAATTTGTTAAAAATAAGAGCATTTTATTTTATAATTTAATATTTAAACTATAAAATAAGATTTATAAGATTAGAGATAAAACTCATAATATTAAAAAATTTATTTTTATTTAATAATTATAATTATATAATTTAATATAATTAAGACTGTATAATATTTTTTTTAAAAAAAAATTCTGATAATGGTTACCTGAGATACTTGTGCGGGCTCAGCGGGTCAGGCAAAAGCTTGGAACCTCTTCCGAAAGCTACTTGCTCACGTGGCAAAATCCTGAATTAATCGGTCACAATTTTTGGCCACGAATAAGAGATCGAGGAGTGGAAGAAAGAAGTTTGCTAGGCTTATTTGTTAATTTTTGGAATCGTAGAGCCTCTACTGATCGATTCCGGTAACGTATGTGTTTATCTACCTTGTCTGGATAATTAACAGCGTAAACATATATATCCACTGCGTTGTCAAAAAGAAAAACATTTGATGATACATGTGACGATGATTAATGATTGTCCAACGTACTTAACTTCTTCTTGCAACTACTTGAAATGAAGTGTGAGACGATCATTATCCAACCTAATTCTTCTTGCGATCGACTTGAAATGAAGGGTTACGTGCCTGTTGTGTAATCTACTTCAGATTTTTTGTTAGGTATAAAAAAATGAATCAAAAGATAGATTTTTTTTTTTAAAAAAAAAAAAAGAGAGAAAAGAAAATAAATTCTCTCTATATTCTTCACGAAAGGAACGAACAAAATTTTTATCATTTTAAATTTAGCTAAGGGTTATTGTAAAGAATAGAAAATAAACATAAATCATATTATAAGTGAAGTCAATGTTAGAAGTTTTCCAAAATTCAAACTATTATAATGTTAAATCAATATATAATTCTAGAAATTATGCACAAACAAAAAATGTATTTTGTCTTTTTACTCAAAATTTGTTATAAATGAATTGTATTTTTTTTTTAAATAAACAAATATTTTTTTCATACTTTAATCTTATTGTAATAGTAGTTATTAACTAAATAAAATTTATGAAAATAAAGTTTTAAAATGATTTTTTTATATAATAACCATAAGAGAGTAAATTGATTACAATAATTTGCAATTTTAGTTTAAACTAATTAAGTCAATCTCTCTCAAATTTAAATCTAACTAAAATCATGGTCACCACTAAAGGATTTGGAAGTTCACAAGAAATTACCCATTATTAACTAACCAAATTTTGATTGATAAGATAAAAGCAAACTTATTAACCAAGCAACCACTAACAAAAATTTAGTTAAATTAATATTACTTATTCACCAGAAAAAAACTCCCCTGGTAGTTAAGAATTGTGAATTATCTCATGTGTTGGTAAGATTTATAAGATCAAAAGATATTATCCAAAAAAAAAAAAAAATTGAAGACCAATTTTGAAGCTGAAAATTGAGGAACAGTTATCCAACTTTAGACAATGAATAAAACATGCTTTACCGAAAAAGGAAAAGAAGAAAATAAATTAATAATCATTGGCTAATAACGTATGAGGAACTTCCAAGGGTTCATAAGCTCCTCATGTTATTGACTGTTGTTCGCCCTAGTTAATCTATAAAATTAGCGTCGTCCCCCACCCACCCCAGCCATTTCACGTAGAAGAACAACACAGCGTGCCAGGGACTTTCGTGTAACCAAAGTTACATATTTCAGGCGGTGATAACGGCCAACTCATTTTTTTGTTTCTGCTTAACTTCCCTTCGTCCCTTAAACCTCTCCTTATATATCTCATTCCCAAACCCCATGAATCTGCGTCTTTCAGGACTTTGTTGAACAGAAACAGATCAAAACTTGAAGTTGAAGAGTAAATCAATTCAGATGAGCAAGATGATCGGAAAAAAGACCGAATCTATTTTCACAAACCCAAGTGAGTTCTTCGATATAAAACCAGAAGTATTTTGTTGATCGGAAGTTCATGTTTTGACAAAACAATGATTTTTTTTGTGTTTTTGGGATGCTATCCGAATGATTTGTATGTTAATCTGTGTTTGTAGTCACAGGAAGATCGAGGACACAACGGGGAAGAAACTTGAGCAGCAAGTCATCAAATAATGTAAATGAAGAATACAAGGAAGCTTTTAGGACCAAATCTTATATTGAAATGTGGAGTAAAGCTCAGCACCAGCTGGAGAGAACAGGCTTAGAGAAATTTTCTTCTTCTACTCTTCCGCTTCATCATCTCTCTGATTTCCTGCTTGAACCAACGCAAGAAACACTGATAGACATGATGGAGAGGTTAAAAATCCATCAACTTCTTGCGGACTACTTCAAAGCTAGCTTTGAAGCATGTAATACCTGTGAATTACTCCTCAAAAGCATCCACAAAACTCGAGCTAATTATCAGAAAATCAAAAGGGTTATCAAGATTAGCAAGAGGGTGCATGAATTTCCAGATTCCACAGATGATCATTGTGGTGGGACTGCAGTTATATTCAAGGAGCTAGCTGGATTTGTGTTGCTTAAGAACCCTTTGTTGATTATTAGCCCGATGAAATTTGGTGAGATTCATGATACTAACATGGAGTTGCTACATAAGTTGACATCAAAACAGAAGAAGATAAAGAGGAGAACGAAGTTGAAAAGACTCTGCAAAAGAATTGGGGGCGTAGGTCTTGTAGTTTCGCACAGTGCCCTTGTAGCTGCCTTGCTAGTTCTTGCATTCCATAGTATGATTGGAATCATAGCAGCACCAGGGCTCATTGCCTGCTTTCTAGGTTTCCCCAAGAAGAAAACCAGGTCTGGCGCAAAAAGGGTTGAATCAAGCTTGCTTGAGAGACTTGACGTGCAGCTTGATATTGCTGCAAAAGGAACTTTCATTCAGATCAACGATTTTGATACCATGAGCAGACTGGTTTGGAGGCTATATGACGAGATAGAACATCTCAAAGCAATTGCCAAAACCTGTGTGAGAAATGGGAAAATTGAGGTATTGAAGGAGGTGGTGAGAGAATTTGGGATGCATGAGTCCAGCTTCTTGGAACAGTTAGAAGAGCTTGAAGAAAATATTTATTTGTGTTTTCACACCATAAACAGATCGAGAAGGCTTGTTATAGAGAAGATAATCGACACACAACCAGAATCAAAGACATAAATCTTAACATTTATTTATCCTGATGGTGATTCCGGTGAAGTACTCAAAGTTCATATATTTAGACAGATCAATTTCCGCAACTAGGCTTGGTAATTGAGGCAAAACAAATGAACGGATACTTCCTGGCTTCTTATTCTTTGCTACTCAACTCCTGCTACAAAAGGCTTCATATAGTTTTTTTTTTTTTTTCTTGTTCTAATTCAGCTTCTTCATTCTTTGTTAGTGTTTTGTGAAGGCAAAGCATAATTCTTCTCTGTTTGTACTCATTGTTTATTCATTCATAAAAGTATTATAAGATTTAACTAATAAAACGCAATTCTTATTCACAATCTATTTGGGATTTATATGGGAAGTTACTCAAGCCCACAAATAAAAGTTGCTACCATAATGCAGTTTTTGGAACACGTAACCTTGTTCTTTTCTAAGATTGTCGGACTTAGTTAAAGCTATAACGGTTGCAACACTTTTGCCTCTTATGGGATTGGACATCAGAACAAAGCAACTGTTTCTAATTTTCTATAGAAGATGACAAAGTTAAAGCCATAACGGTTGTAAACTTTTCCCCTCTTAATGGGGTTGGACATCAGAACAAAGTAACTGTTTCTAATTTTCTATAGAAGTTGAGTAAAGTTCAACCTTGAATCTTACAAATAATTAAAAATGTTAATCATTATTGAAAAGAATACAGAACTAGTCTTTTTCAGTTCTCAACTCTTCCACATTGTGATTAATGAAAGTTAAAACAAAACATCAATTTATCAATCTTGTTGTCCATGGTGATGAGCTTCACCGGTAAAAATGCTGCAAATGAACTGCTGATGATGAAGGGTTCTCTCATGTACAAATTTGTTTATCAATCTGACGAGCTGGAATTTCCCAGGAGATTTCTTGTTTTCTTCAATTGTCAGTAACAAATCAATTCCTACTGAACCAATAAGTCAGCATGGTGTTCTTAATTTCTTGAATTCTTCAAGCCCTAGTAGTGAAGCTTCATCTTCAACCAGTCTGCTGGTTTTGGCATAATGATGGCTATGTATCCTTCTCGTTCTGCCTGCAGTCCAAAGAAGCACTGGTACAATGAAGTAAATGATGCAAGTTTCTCATAGAACTGAGATATGTAATTTGTTGAAAGTGATCAGGATTCAGAAAAAATCTCTAGATCCTAAACAAAATCAAATTCACTATTTCCACCTACAAACCATCCTGATACCCAAGTGATGGATAATATAACAAATTAGTTAGCTTTAACTAAAGGATTCCACCCTAATTTTGCAACAACGACCATTTATCATGGTTTTATATATTATCATCTGAAACAAACACAAGAACAAAAGTTCAAACAAAACAGACTGAGTCAGACTGAGGGTTGAAGATATTTAACTACAGCAATGCCAAAACTGCTACAATCCACTTCTCTCTAGTATTTAGTTGAGTCAAAATTAAATCTTAGCTATACATTAACCATTCAAAAAAAAAAAAAAAAAAATTATCATTTTCAAACCCAAACACCTCCCAGCCACCCACCCAAAAAACATGAAAATTCCACAATTATTAATTGAACACTGAATAGCACCCAACAGAACTGCAGAATTATTCATGTTGCTAGACCAATTGGTTCACTTTGCCCTAATTTGAGGTTTTAGTCCATTAATTACGCTGTGATAATCCCAATAATCAAAGGGGAAACAATGTAGTGATGACAATTCTGAATTTGGATGAGAACATGAACGATGCCAAACAAGAGATAATATCACAATCATTCAATTGCATAGTTTCATATGTATAAAACTATTCTCACCGATGAATTGAGCAGCTCTGGCTGTTTAATCAATCTATCATTAACTTCCAATAGAGAACCTTTAACACAACACCTGTGCAAAGCAACTTAAAAGCTGTGGCTTCAAGTTCAATATGAAGAAAGTAATGCCCACCAAAGAAGCAGACCTCACAATGTAAGAAGCATCACCGGTGCAAACTTTACACAAAGCCGTGTTGGACTCAAAATGTTGCGCATTCTGCAAAAAAAAGCATATCTGACTTTAAACAAACACACCAATTTTATAAAGGAAACGAATGGGTTGTAAATTAAGATTATATAAGAGAAGAGCAAACATATACCGCTCTTAAGATTTTAATTTCTCATTTGAAATTATTGAAACTTGCATGACATGAGACAAGTATCATATTCTAAACAGAATCAATAACTTTATATTTCATCCGTTGCAGTTCAACAACAGGAAAACTAGTGAATTTAAACTTGAGAGATATCAAACTATTTAGCAAAAAATAACAAGAATGTACATCTCGATTCCAAACATTTTTAGTAGCCAGAGTCTACTTAAAAAAAAAAAAAAAATAAAAAAAAAAAAAAAAAAAAAGCTGAGAGATACCTTCTTCCGCTTTCCAGTGACCTTAATCCCACTGCGATCAGACTTGCCGACATTAAAATCAACAGCGGTGATTCCACCTTTATCCTTAAAAGCTACATGTGTGGAAGCTAAACCGATCACGCACAATCTAAAATTTTAATCAATTCATTATGCAATCCGAAATGTAAATCTTCAAAAGAAAAACGAAATTTCAAAATATATTTTTTAAAAAAAATGTTTGAACTCTCAAGTCTCAAGTCTCATCCATTGGCATGGCGGTAAATATACTGGTCATGTTCGAGCTTCATAAAATCTGTAAAAGCCAAATTAAATAATAATAATAATAATAATAATAATAATAATAATAATAAATTCTGTTTAGACTTTAAAATGCTATCGAACAAGATTAAAATTCTATTATTAAACATAGAATTAGAAACAAAAAAAGACCTCGGGCGTAGTAGGAGACGAAGTTGGAATCGACCGCTGAGGGAGGAGAAAGAGGGAGATGTCGAACATCGGGAAGGAGGAGCTTATGTAACTGCTGTTCTTCATCTTCTTCACTTTTTCGTACTGGTTCTAAGTTGTCTGCAACTGTAGTTTCCGGGTTGCTTGTGTTTGTTTGGGAGATTATGTGATCCGACACCGACATCGTCGGTTGACGGAGGATCAGAGCTCCGCTAGTTCGTTGAAGTATATGAAACTGGCAAATCCCTTGGTACTTCTGTTAGGGCTTCTTAAGCCCAAACCTGCAAACCTACAAGTGTTAAATTTGGATTTCTTATTGGGCCATTTTTTCAACCCGGAAAGATGATCTGCCCAATTAGATCAAAGATTTAAAATAAGCGAGATGTTGCATGGTAGTAAATGATGCACATTATTTATTTATTGAAGAATGATAAATAAAATTAAAAATTGAGGTAAATGATATAATATAAATTATATTATTTAAAATATTAAAAGATGAATCTTATATTATTTAATAATTTATTATTTATTTTTTAAAATATATGATATTATATATATATCAATTAATTTAATAATATAATGTATACTATATTATTAATTTTAAATTTTTGTCCCAATTATAGTCGTCCTCCTAATCATTGCTTTTATTTATATATTTACAAAGGGGGAGGGATTCAACTCGAACCAGCTCCAACTAGTGAACTATCAGCAGTCTTGACACCCAAAAAAAAGAAAAGAAAAAGAGAGACAAACAAATAAAAACAAAAAAACAGAACACAAAAAGAAAGAAGGGAACATATATGTTCAAAACTTCAAATTAATGAAATACGTTAAAATATCAATTTGATTTCTCAACTTTTAGATTTATATTAAAATTATTTCTTAATTTTAAAAAATATTAAAATTGTTTCTAAACTTTAATTATAGTAACAAATATTCCTAAAACTTTGAAGATAATACTAATTTAGTTCTTAAACTTTGAAGACAAAATACCAACTTAGTCCTTAAAGTTTTATTGCAAATACCATTTTTTTAACTTTAATTATATATCAATTTAATTTGTAAAGTGAAATATGTCACAATAGTAACAAGTTACATTACATCTTTGTTAATGGAAGAACTTTCTTTGGTATTGAAAATTAAAGTTTACAGATAATTTTGGTACTTTTTGAAGTTAAGGGACAATTTAATATAAATTTGAAAGTTAAGGAACCAAATTAAATCATGTGAAAGAGAATAGGACTCTATTACAACAGCCAAAAGGTTAAGGAGCTAATCAGGCCATTCCTAAAATATTGACAAGGTCCTGAAATTTACTCATTTT